TACGGCGATTGCTGCCCTACTGCAGACAGTGGAAATATCAGCGGTAGAGACCTTCTGTGTGAAGTCGAAGCCTTTCCTGACGGAGAAAAAAGAAGCGTCGCTGGCTCTATCGAAGGCTAACAAAGAGATGGCTTACTTTGAATGGATGGATGCTTGCGCTTTGCTGATGATCTTACCTAAAGCACAACCCATGCCATCCTTTTGCCAAAGAACCAAACTGTCACAACACTAATTGTTGTTGCTGATCAACTCTCGCATGCAACAGGCTCTAACAGAGTTAAGAAATCGTTTCTGGATTACATCGCAAAACCTTACCAAGGCTTGTGCTGAATGTCGACGTCGTTTCACCACAAAAACAGACTTTCAGGATGGCCCCCATACCCAAACCATGATGACGTTGGCATGAAGAGCATTTGAAGGAGTTGGTATAGACTACGGCGGTCCATTTAAGACAGAACAAGGACGTGAGGGAAGACAGGCCCGTGTCGTTGGAAATGTCATACTCGTTAAGGAAGGGGACGTCAAGTTACGTTCTTTTCTGACAGTTCGCCACTTTAGAAACGAGAAAAGTAAAGTGAGTCGAGTAAACTTCCTGGGCCTACTACTGGGGACAGCAAAAAAATTTGGCCCATAGCTGACCGGCGCGTCTCCAGTGACGATCTCAGAGGTCTCTGCGAAAGCTAACGCAGCCCAGGTTCCTTCTCGGTTCTTAAAAAGAAAATGGATGTAACTTCGTTGGAACACAAGGTGATCTTAGAAGGTCAGTGGACAGGATTATACAAGAAACCACGAAGTATCACCTCATTGACTAGAAATTCAACCCTCCACCCCCTTATTTTGTTGGCGTATAAGAGGCTATGATGAAAAGCGCCAAGAAAGCCATCAAAGAAATCCTTGAAAACGCGGGTATCAATGACGAAGAGCGTCACACAAACGTTTTTGTGGTGCTGCAAGATTGTTAAATTCATTTATTCAAAAAACATTGTATACCTACTGCACAGATTTAAGCTTCCGTTTATATAGTAATAGTGCAGCCAGTTAACGTTACACAAATAAGCTTAAACCATGACAAAGAAATAGGTACCTCTCCCCTTCACATTTAGGAGCCTTCCAATTATATCCCCAAAACACGTCTAAATGATAAAATCTACCACCGACAGCAAAAAACTTATATTTCATATGACAGCTACAAAAAATATATTGACCCTTTGACGAGCGCCAATTCATTCAGACGAGCTTTTCATCAATTAGCATGGGAATGGCTAGATTTGTAACGGCATATTTTAATAATAATAATAATAATAATAATAATAATAATAATAATAATAATAATAATTTATTTCTTATTAGGCGCAAATTAACACCTTTAATATGATCAAATGCGCCTTACAACTATAACTACCTGTAATAATTAACCAAAGAAAGCCAGATTGGTGGGAGGCGAACGCCCTCACCACTGCATCAGCCTTGCTACTTTTTCAGAATTGGTCAAAATTTTTTTAAAATAAGTTAACTGTGAAAAGATCTATCCTTGCTAAATTTGTTGCTTACCAACTTAACCACTTAAAGTGAAAGCTAAACGGGTCCAGGACCGAAAACATGCATCATTCCATATGAAACGGGTGTGATCAAAGCGCTTGTCAAAGGGTTAAAACTTGCTTAAGGAGAATTTGCAGAGTGGGTCTATAAATCAGCGCTAATAAAATTTCTATAGGCACAGGAACTTTTGACACAAGCAGACGTTTTCCTCGGGTGCACGAATGTTCCTGCTCGCTTAACCGCCACGCTGAGTCACAAGAATAGTCAGGGGTAGGGCAAGTTAGCTGTAGTGGGGAAGAGGGCAGGGAGAAAGACGAGAGGACGCCTACCCTCAAAAGCTCGAGAAACGTCTAATTAGTTGTGCTTAGCCACTTATGCGAAAATGGGCGGCGGACCATCAAAATGTTTCCGAGCAAGTAAAACATTATACCTTTGGCCTTTTTAAAAAGCTAAGCTCGACTGATGAGCCATCGAGCCACTAAAATATGTACCTTTTGGTGGGCACCTAGCAGGCATAATTTACGTGAAAACGTTTACGAGAAACCTCTTAGAATCGTAGAACTAGGCAGGTGGGTGGTGGGACAAGATTTTCCTTTCCATTTGCCGGTAAACTTTACACAGACTTTACACAGTATTTTGCGTTTCTCTCTGGCCCCCTTTACTGAATGATGCTTGTTCTGGTATTGTTTAAAAGATTTCTTCCCTCACACGATTAGGTGACCAAGTTGTTCTGTTTAGCGGCGAATGAGTTAGACTGAATCTCAATGCGTTTTCTTTTGTTTTATCTCTTCAGCCTCGAAGCCAAGTATGAATATTAATAATCGAAACTGGCCAATTGACAAGCAAGAATCAAATGATTAGTTCTATATCACACCAATCAAACTCTGTGTGCTCACGTACGGAGTTTCTTAATTAAAAGACCCACGAGGGCAGGCGTATTTTCTTCTCCCCTCCATCTAACCTATCTCCTTCTTTCGTCGTAACACCTACCCTTACTATGTCTACTTTCCTTTTTCTCCCTATGTTCTAAAATCAACGATGGTAACCACGCAGCACAATTCGAACATAAGTAACTTAAATCCACTCTCCGAAATTGGGCCTGCATTAAAGGCTACTTAAGTAGTGACTAATAGTTCGTTGGTTCTTTTGTCCAGGCAAGGTCTATTTTCAGTTTTGTAAAACAAAATGGTGTTGCTTCTTTGAGAAGTGCTATTCCTCCTTGCATCTTTACCACACCTAGGCAAAAAAGCAACAGATTCATGTTAAGCAATAACATATACATACAACACTTTGCAACAAGACTCTAACAAAAACGCACTTAGTCTACCGAGTAGTTACATATCTGAGAAATTTTTTCCTCAAAGAGACCGGTGCAGGCACCTTGCACCTAACCCGTAGTCATGATGACCGTTGGGGCACCATAGCCCTAGCAGCTGATTTTGTTTTCAGATTCTCTTAGAGCATCGTAAAACCTCAACACTGTCTAATCAGATGTGTTTTTCTCCCAACGTTTCTTCTATCCTCCTCTTCTCCTCCCTCCTTGCACTATTCTCTGTAAGATTGTCTCGATAAAACCCTGCTGATCTTGATGCATGCCCAAACCACATTAACTACCGTTTCTTTACCATCGTTAAGATGTCTTCATAGAGCCCGATAGCTTGCCTGATTTTGTCTAAAACTGCATTGTTGGTGATGTGATTTTTTTATGAGATGCCACGTAGTTTCCTAAAGCATCTCAGTGGCCTGCAATTTCTTCTGATGTCCACTGTCAACGTCTGATCTGTGATGACTATGATAATTTTTCGCCTTGGACCCTGATGTCAATGCTGATGCCACCTGTCGGTCGTTAGTTTGGTCTTCTCTGCGTTGCTGTTTATACCAGATGCAGAACAAGCGTTGCCCAGGCGATCCACCAGACAGGCTAGTTCCTCCTCTTTTTCTGTGAAGCCATAGATGTCATCGGCAAAACGTACATATATAAGTTGGTTATTGTTCTACCTCCTTTGATGCTGACCACTCCATCCATAGTGATCTTTCAGTGCGTCAGCTATAATTCTCTCCAGAGAGATGTTGAAGAGAGTCGGTGAGAACAGAAAGCCTTGTCTGACTCCGACTGTCGTCTTTGACAAGTCTTTTACACTATATGCTGCCATTAAGGTAGACTATGACTTACATCAGGTTGACATTAATGTTGTAAGGCCTCGTAGTAGACCGAAGGGCTTTGTGCCATACCTAAAAGAGGTCTTGTTGATCTTTGAGGTACCTCTCAAACGGTATCCCGAGGCTGAAAATCTGTTCTGTTGTACTACGTCCTGCTCTAAAGCCTGCCTGTTCTTCCACGATGATTGTTTCTGCCTGAAGCTTCAACCTGTTTAACAGCACCTTCTGCATGACGTAACTTGGGTGGTGTATCAGGCTAATCGTGCCATAGTTCTTGCACTGTATAAGGTTACCTTTTTTGAGATATTTAGAAAAAATAGCTCATATGTCAGTGGTGTGAGCGTATGTATCTTTGTGGCTTTGTATGTTCGGATGTTTGTTGCAAGAGCCAATAAGGTTGAAGGTACTATAAGTTGATGCTTAGGAACCAATGAGATCTTGGCATATATTGAAACATGGCATTGCTAAAGGTAGAACAAGGGCATTTTGAGACCGTTATCTTGATTCTTCACAATTTTTTCGTCTTTTATTACGGCTACAGGTGTTTGGAAACATTACATTTAACATCTTCATGATTCAAACGCTGTGTACAGTGATGCAGCTGTTTAAGGGTTCATATTTTAGTGTGGATGTTGCTTCAAAACATTTCTTGCCGAATTCGGCTATCGCATTTTTTGTTTTTAACTTAAATCGCCTTCTAGCATTTTCAGTTCACCTTTTATTTCAACATTGTTTCTTCAAGAGCACTAAGTAGTAGTTTCCTGTCAGGAGTATCTCTTTGTGGTCAGAAGCTTTGTGCCAAAACAATGTAAGTACGTTGCCCATTCGTTAAACCTGGTAAAGGAGAAATTGCCGCGCTTCCTGGCAGCCTTAGAGACATTTTAAGATGCTCATGTTACGTATTCTTTGCACCTTCAGGATGAGGTTAGCTTTGCGAAATGCCAGGAACAAGTCAATCTAGAGTCATTACGAGTGGACGACTGCTGTTAAAAGGGTTCAGGATTGGATTGAAAGTACAGAGGAGATTGGAAGGTTAAACTCTCAATTCAAACCTGACGATTCAGTGAGTCAGGTCACCTCTCGGACAGCCTCCAAATCTTCAACAAGGCGATCGTAGCTGTCAAATCGTAGCAGTTCACAGACAACCGGCACTTTGTGCGTTTCCATTGCAAGAGCAAAGGAAGCTGCTTGCACCGCAGAGTTGAAAGCAGAAGTTCCGCTTCCAACAAGAACAGGAACGTTTGTCACTAGAAACGAAAATTGCCAAGTCTGAGGCCAAGGAACAAGTCTTAGCTTTAATTATGGAAGCTACCCCCACGTTCTTCTGTACCGAAACCTACCAGTTTGGTGTCTACGAAGAATGAGGAAAAGTATCAAGTACCGGGGACCGGTTTAGTGACAATAAAAATAAAAGCGGAAAATGACCCATTACCAGTCATCATACGCCATTCGACACTAAGCCCAGAAGCGCCAGAGTGGTACGAGCGTCCATTAACAGCCAGCAAGAAGGAACGTGTCACTGAATCTGACCACTACGGAACGTCATCGTCACCAAGCGAGGAGGTGTTCCATGAAATGCTTGAACTACATCAGCATCAAAACGCTCTACAACGGCAGCAGAACCACAGTATGGAGATGCTTGCAATCCAGCAGACGTAAAGCAATCTTCCCCAGCAATGGATTCTGATATTTGATCGTGATCCTATCGAGTATGGAGCCTTTGTAAGAGCCTTTGAAAACGTGATTGAGTTCAACACGTTTAGTATTAGTGAGAGGCTGTACTACAGCCGAACCTATATTAAGCGGTCACCCTCTGGGAATGGCTAAGTGACCGCTTAATACAGGGTGACCACCTACTGCAGATTGCAAGAAATACCGAGTTCAAAGAATTAGATCTCCAGTGCTGATCAGAACAGAAGCTTGACCTCAAATAGAAACATTCATTTCCGTCGTTTTAATGATTTGCAAACATAAACAAGGAAATCAATTGTTGTACCTCATGTGTTACATTATTTGAAACTGTATCATCAACAACGTGTGACCATTTAATACACGTTAAGGCAATAGAAAAAGTCTCGTTGGGACTTTGCAAATGGTCACCGTGACTGCTTAATGGAGGTGACCGCTTGATAGAGGTTGAAATTACAGTACATCAAGAAAAGTAATTCCCGGGACTTTGAAAACCGAACGCTTAATACGGTCCACTTAAAACAGGTTTGACTGTATCTCAAGCAGTTTACCAGTGAGGATATCAAGGAACTTGTTCGATCGTGCCATTACCTCCCACCTGACAAGAGATACAGGGAAGCCCAAAGTCTGAGGAAAAAGAAGTACGGTGATGGTTATTTAGTTGCATCTACCTACAAAAGCAAGGCGCTGAACTGGCCTGGGTTGAACGCTGAGGACAGCACCAGCCTAAACAGATTTTCAATATTTCTCATGAGGTGTAGAAACGCAATGGAAGGATACAAGTATCTAGCCAAGCTTGAACATCCCGATACCAAACAGAAGCTCATCATGAAGTTTACCTTTCAATATGAAAAAAACATGGCACCATTTGGTGGACCACATTATGGAAACGGAGGAACGCTCTGTTACGTTTCGCAACCTTGCTGAGTTCGTGGATAATGAGGCAAGAGTAGCCGCCAATCCAGTATTCGGAAAGATTACAGAGGATGCAAAGCCCACACAAGAACCTAGAAGCGGTCGAACAAAGAGCGGATCTAATGAAGTAAGAAAAGCTTTGCTCTGCAGGTGGGTGGTGAGCAGAATTTACCTCCTGGAGAGCTACCTTCTGGAACGACCCCCTCAGTTGGAAATGTCTCGTGTACTTTCTGCAATTCTGGCCACGCTTTGGAGACCTGTGAGGTGCTTAAACATCTCCCATATCAAGACCGAATTCAGTTCCTGTTGTCGCAACACCTCTGCTTCGGTTGTTTATCCACTGGTCACAATGCCAGAGTCTGCCCGGAAAGGAAAATATGTACGGTAGCTGACTGTGGCAGGAAACATCTTACAATTCTTCACACAAACACTGTTGGTCGAAATCAATCATTAGACTCCCTCAGCAAGCAACTCGCCCCGTGAGGAGCCCACGCGCGAGGATTCCACGTGGGTTTGCAACGGAATGGTGAACTTGGCGAACTTGAAAGTTGGTATGGCTATTGTCCCAATCAGGGTCTGGTCGAGGACGGCGAGAACACCAGTGATCACCTATGCGTTCCTGGACAACGGTATTACTTCAATATTCTGCGCAGAGTCCTTAATGAAGCAACTGGGCATCAGTGGCTCGAGAGATCAGATCTCCTTGACAACTTTGAAAAAGAAAAACAATGTTATTGATTGCTTCGCAGCGAAAGGGTCAAGACCGACTGTCAGGAAATATCGACCATCAAGTGGCAAGAGTTGAAAAATCGATTTCCTTCATTTTTTGTCCATAAATAGCTTTTAGGTAGATAAGTAATCTGATGTTAGTTGTTCTTGCAAAAAGCCTGTTATTTTCGAGAAAAGTAAGAATATCAGTTTCCGTGGTCGGAGTCTCAAAATGGCCGTATTTTCAACCCGAAATTTGTTAGCATCATCTCTCCTCGCATTCGCAAATAAAGCAGTAAGGAGAAATTTGGACACTTTCCATCAATAGAACAACTCTTTTTCTTTCACTAGGAGATAATTTCAAAGCAATATCAAGACTTGTTGAAGTAACATAATTAAAAAACAACGAACAGGTTTTTACGGTGACAAAAACTCTACTTTAATAGTTGTTTTCTGCAGCATTTTTCTTTTTGTGGTATAGCCCCAAATTCTCATGTTCCTCGTTTATTCACACATTTAGACATTCATCTAAAGCATACCTAAGAATTGGCTTGCGTTCCTTTAGGTAGCCTCCAAACGAAACCATCGAAGTCCATTAAAAATAGTGAAGCGTGACCAAAATAACTTATTTAACGGCTCCAAGTTTCCTCGATCGTAAAGTAACAGGACGAAATATCTTCCTGTTCCGTCATCCTTAGCGAATTACCATTGTTAAAGTCTTTATTTTTTGATACAAAGTGAGTACCAGAAAAAGCGCATTTGATTTTTTCTTCCTCAAAATATATACTGTCGGTATCGAAAATGTTACTCTTTCAAGAATAGCGTTGCATTACTACCGTTGCGTTACTACCGTGTCATTTTGACGGCTCCATCTCTTCAAACGTACGTTATGTCACATGCAGTAACGGAACAGATTGTCACGCAGGGTCGCCGGCTGGTAGAGTTCAGTGTTTCAAAATGGCTAAAATTGACCCAGTTTCACCTTTTTACCCGACTCTTTGGTTGGAAAAAGGAATTTTGCATTGAGAAAACCTACAAGAAGTACAAAAAACGAGCCTTTAGGCTAAAAATCTCTACTTTTGTGCGTTTCGAAATTGGAAGTGTTTGCATATTTACCGCCGGCCTACCATGAAAATTCCTGAACTTCTATGGTGTCTTACAGAGATTACATTGAATAACCCAAGCCAATTCCCAGGTATGTTTTAAATGAATGTCTAAATGTGTGATTTGAATAGCATGAAGAGAATTTGGAGTTATACCACATGTTAAATATTTCCGTCGAAAATGAGTAACGAACTTAAGTTTTTGTTATCCCGAAAATCTATCTCTCATTTTTGAATTATTTCAGTACGACGAGCTTTGCTATTGCCCTGAAAGTATCTTTTGGTGGAAGAAAAAGAATTTTTCTGTTCATGGAAAGTGTCCAAATTTCTGCATGCGACTTCGTTTGCAAACGTGAGGAAAGTTAATGTTAGCGAATTTCAGGTTAAAAATTAGGGTAGTCTGAGACTCCGATATCGAAAACCAATCTTTTAATTTTTCTCACAGATAAAAACCTTTTGGCGGGAACAAGCTACATTAGGTTTCTTATCTACCTAAAAGCTATCTATGAACAAAAAATGAAAGAAATTGGTTTTCAACTCTTGCCATGAAATTAAGATTTTGGTCGATTTTTCCTGACCGTCGCTCTTAACCATCTCCGATATTGGTGAGAATGTCTTTATCGACCCGCCAGCAATGTATACGAGACCAGAAATACCTGTTTTAAAAGAGGACATATCCACCTAGAGCGATGTCGACCGATGGCCACACTTGAGTGGAGTTTACTTACTGGAAGTTGATGCTGAAATTGGTCTTCTCATAGCATGTGATGTCCCCACAGTCTTCGATCGTTTGAAAGTGAAACACAGTGAAGATGGTGGTCCTTATGCTGTGCATACAAGGATGTCATCACAAAGGCTGATCCCGAATTGCAGGGTATGGTGAAGGATTTCTATGACAGTGGTTTCAACAAATCCAGTGCTGATGATAGACCTGAAATGTCCCGGAAGAGCTCCGATTCTTACATCAACTGGAGAGTACAGTGGTCTTGAAGGACAGTCACTATGACATAGCTTGCCTTTGAAGGATCGTAATGCACCAGTACCGAACAATAGACCACAAGAGGAAGAGCGCGCTCACTGGTTGAAGAAGCTTTAGCGTAACAAGGACTTGTACGAAAACTACAAGAGTTTCATAGCTGAAAATATTGAAAAGAGTTGCGCGCGTAAGGTGCCAGCAGATCTCCAGGAAACCAATGTAAAAAGGTACATACCTCATCACGGGATTTACCATCCGCACAAGCCCGGAAAGATTTTTGTGGTGTTTGACTGTTTCGCAAAATACCAGGGCAAGTCGCTCAATGATCTGATGCTTAGCGGCCCAGATTTAACAAACAATCTGTTTGGAGTTTTAATGAGATTCAGACAGGAGAGAGTCACCCTAATGGAAGATATAGAAGCAACGTTTTACCAAGTTAGGGTAGCCGATGCAGATTGCACTTACCCTCGTTTTCTCTGGTGGCCTGATGGTAATCTGCAAACTGAGCTGGAAGAATACCAGATGGTGGTACACTTATTTGGAGCTGCGTCTTCTCCCTCCTGTTTCACTTTTGCATTGTGCAAGACAACTGAAGACAACAGTGACCACTTCCTGGAAGAAGTCGTGAGCACAGTTAAGAAGAATTTTTACGTAGATGATTGTCTCAAGTCCTTACCATCAGCTGAGGAAACTTCACATCATGCTAGCAACCTGCGTTCTCTGCTTTCAAGAGGCGGTTTAGGCTCACAAAGTGGATTAGCAATGATCCCAGAGATCTGGAAACTATACCTGAGGATGAGTGCCGCAAAGATGTGAACGCTTTCGACCTAAACAAAGATGACCTTCCAGTTGAGAGGGCTCTCGGTGTTAAATGGTGTGTTGAAACAGACACCTTTGGTTTCAAGGTGGATTTCAAGCTCAAGCCACCCATGCGGTGAGGCATTCTTTCAGTCGTCTGCTCCATTTACGATCCCTTTGGACTCGCAGCCCAGTTTGTGTTGCTGGCTAAACAGTTGCTTCAGGATTTATGTCAAAGTAAGTTACAACGAAATGACCCTAACAGCTAAAGGTTCATTGGGAGAAATGGTTGGCAGATCTCCCGAAGCTATCTCAGTTCTCAGTAAGCCACTGCATCAAACCATTTGGTTTCAAAGCCATCTCATTGAGCCAGCTCCACCACTTCTCGGACGCTTCTGAGGTCGGATTCCAACTTTGCGTTGCCAACAACAAAGGTGACATTCATTGCTCCTTCCTTTGCGCGAAGTCACAAGTAGCACCTTTGAAAACGATTATGATCCCTCGCCTCGAGTTATCTGCTGCAACAATCTCCATCAACCAAGACAAGATCTTAAGGACAGAACTAGAGGTACTGAATGATGCCCAGTCTATCTTCTGGACAGATAGCACCATAGTGCTGCGTTATATCAAGAATGAGACAAACCAGTACCACACCTTCATAGTCAACCATATTGCAGTGATTCGACATGTCCATGGAGACATGAACCCTTCTGACGATGCCTTCCGAGGATTGACAGCAGACAACTTCCTTTGCCAAAGTAGCTGGTTAATGGGGCTGGAATTCCTTTGGAAACCCAAACACGAATGGCCAGTGCAGCAGAAGTGTTTAGCAGCGTTTCGGATGAAGAGCCTGAGGTCAAACCGGGAGTTAAGGTGTGAATGTCACTGGACAAGCAGAATAATTCCCTGTCAGACTACTTCGTGAAATTTTCTTCCTGGGCTTGCTTGAAGAAAGTGGTCGCCTGGGTCTTATGCTTCCGAGAAAACCTTTTAAACCCAAGCAAGAAAAGATTGAAGCATGTCGCTCCAAAGTACATCACGTTTAGAGAGCTTGAGAGAGCCGAGAGAGAAATTCTATGGCATCTCCTTTCCTGAAGAAATTAACTACACCATGAAGCCTGTTAAGAAGAGTAGATAGATAAAGATAGATAAATCGTTTATTGTACAAATACTTTGCAGTTGTAAAACTGAATTGCGTATTTTACAAATAACATTAGCTATAATATAAAACTAATTACAATCATATGAATATAAATACCTTGTGTAGTAAAGCTAAAAAATATGTATAAAAATCTTACAATAAAGTCGACTTCTTTGAAGCTTTAAGAGCTTTATGCACAACCCTGGGACATAGCATAAACAAAAGAGCGTCTGAAACGTTCCGTATAAGAACGTGGCAAATTATGTAACTTTTGACGCCTTAAATT